TTTGGCAAAATCTTTTTTAAAGGGGGGAATTGGGCTGGAGATATGGCTCAGCTTCTGGCTGCTCTTACAGAGGACCTGGATTTAATTCCCAGCACCCACATGGCAGCTCACAACTGTCTGTAGCTCCAATTTCAGGTAATCTGACATCTTCACACAAAAATAAATGAAGAAAAAATGCCTATGCACATAAAACTAAAAATAAATCATTAAAATTTATTAAAAAATTAAAAATGGGGGCTGAAGAGATGGCTCAATGGTTAAGGGCACTATCTGCTCATCCAGAGGACCCAGGTTCAATCCCCAGCACCCACATGGCAGCGATCTGACACTCTCACACAGATTTACATGCAGGCACATAAAATAAAAAATTTTTTTAAAAAGAGGGGGAGATCAAGTAGCCTTGGGCATGTCACTGAAGCATACAATAAGATCAACTGCATCAGGTAAACTAAGTCAGAAGAGGAAACACATTTCAAAAGTTTTGAATAGGTACTAGAAGTCAGCAATCTAGAAGTCCTGGCAAAGCTCTAAGACTCAGAGAATAAAAAGCAGGGAAACAAAGAGGAGGCGGTTAAAAACCATAGGCTAACATAGTATAACAAAGTATATAATGATGCCGAAGGTAGCTTATTTTATATGAGGGGCAAGAGACAGGAGCCCTGGGACTCCAGAGACTCAAGGATGGGGTCTCAACTGGGGTCTGAAGCAGAGGTGTACAAAAGCAATGCTGCCCCTGGAGTTCATTACTACAGAACACTTTTCTACAAATCCACCAAAATCAGGGATCCTCCACTGTCCCTTCTTGCCAATCTCCTTTCGCTGAACTTCTACCGCAGTGAGTGGCAGTTTATCCTTTCTGATAAACTTTGCTGACCTTTATTCCCTACTCATAAATACACCTACTGTTGTCTAGTAAAGTATATAAACACATCCAGTCCATTCGGAAATCTCACGAGTACTTTTACATTTCTATCTATTTTCCCATGAAGGGTAAACTAGAAGGCAGAGCCTTCAGCTACGGGTTCTCTGTCCACAGCACCGGCCTTGAGACTGCACACATGCAGCTATTTTTTTTAAAGTGGTTTGTCGTTAAGGAGATGGCTACTGAGGAGAATGTTAACGATTCTGAATACTTGCCTATAAAAGTATAATGATCACCAAATCAAAATGCTAAGGAATGCCCCGTTTTTGTAAGTGTGGGGACAAACTCTTAAGAAACAGTCAACATTATCAAGCTGGCATTCCTCCCTGAAACTATTCACTCCTCTAGATAACTCGATTTAATAAGCCTCCTCTTTGCTGCTCATTCACCCTGTCTACATTCCAGCACCCCTTCTCTCCATCCAGACCCGAGACTACAAATGCCCCCCAAGAACCATTTTATTCATTCCTCCAACCCGCCCTTCCCCAAGTCCACTTGCAACCCCGGGCCCCCCACCTTCATTTCCCCACTCCCCTTTCCTCAGCCTCCTCAGACCTCCCACTCCTCCCAACCGACTCAGTCCCCACCCCGCACCGCCGCAGCCCTCCCGCGAGGTCCCCTCCCCCACGGCGCCCACCCTCGCCCGCCGACCCCAGCCCGCCTCACCTGCTCCCTGCCGTCGGGCC